TAACTTAAATCATAGAAGGTTAATCGGCAATTGCCCATCTGTTTATCCATCATGTAGTTCTTTTCGATATGAGTAGACTCCGAGATTGTCCGTAATTTTTTGAATAAAAACTTAGTCGCCTTGTGCCAATCAAGGTGCTTTAGAGACTGGCAGTTGAATGTTCCTACGATGATATGAATAGGCCTCATGTTACCATTGAATTTCACTCAGCCTTGCCTCTAGAAAGGCTTTTGCATCCGGGCTGAATTATACTTTCTACTTCACCCTAGTCTCTTTGGGAATATATACCAGTTCATGAGGATAGTGGCGATGTTACCACTATGCAAAGGTTTCAGGTCTCACCAGTAAAAAGGCAAACAAATAAAGACACTATCTTGCGTAGGCTTGGTGTGAATAATAGACCAAATGTTCGTCTAAAACTAGGCATAACCGGAGAAATTGTCAATGTTTCTCTAATGCTGGGAAGGGGCAACAACGAAGAATCAATGCTTAAAAAACACTACATGATTTGCCGAGTAACCTTTGTTTTCTGCTCGACTTGAGTCTTCTGAACAAGGTCTGTAGATAAAGAATGTTGCCTTGACCATCATAATTTCGTTTGAAGAGACGATCAGTAAAATGCCTTCACATGAAGCAAAGGGGAATTACCCTAAAGTTCTGAATATAAATTTGTGTGAATGTGCCCTCGGCATACCGTCCCGCAACCGTGCTGAGCTTACGTCTAACACGTGACAGACATCGTCAGAAAAGGAAATCACGGCTTAAAGATAATTCATCAAGTACTAAGACAAGAAAATATTTTTATCGCATCCCTTTATTCACCAATTCGTTTGCCCAATTCGTTTTCTTAATAATTCAAAATTTATCTAGAAGAAGCCTCCGCCATATTCACAGTCTGGAAGTTCTAAGCCGTGGATGACCTGGCGTTGCTTTGAAGGATAGAGTTCAGTATAAATTTATCCATTTCCCGTTAGCATAAGCATCCTCTAAGTCCTCTATTTGGATTATTTGTCAAATGCTTACAAGTCTCTTTTAAACGTAACCACTGTTCCACATTCATCAGCTTCCATAGTTATTGAGGGATAAATATCTGGATATTTTTTCAAGGTACAAGATTTCTCTGGTCAAAATGAGGACTAAATTCTAGCACTATACACTTCCAAGGCTCTTCTGATAAAATATCTGCTAAAATAATCAGACCAGCTAGTAACTCAGGTGAATGCTTCTTTTATCAAGTCAAGTCAGATGTGATTCTTTAGATTCCTACATGATAAATACAGATGAGCTAATTTAAAGGTGATAAAATTGGGGAAGACTAAGCCTCGATAATAGATGGTAGATATGGAGACCAAGATGGTGTGGCCTTCTGTTTGGTCGCAGTCTACTCTAGTTTTATAGTGTTGTTTACGCAACTTTGTCGGAGCGTCAGGGATACCATGTGGAACGTACCCAGTCCTGCGTCCTGCTCCATAGTATTCGTGATTTCCGGCATTGGGCCATTGACTTGGTAAATTCCCAAACGCCTCTCACTGGAGATGCCGGCAAAACGTTTGAGAATGTACCAAGTCAATGGTCAAATGCTGGAAATCACGAATACTATAGCAGAGGAAACAAGACTAGGTACGTTCCACAAGGTCTCCCTGACGCTCGGACTCGGTAATAGAGTTGAAATGAAGGTGATGTCCTAAGCATATGCGGGAGCCTCAAAGAGGAATATGGAATTTTATTTGGACTTTCGAGCGAGGGCCAACAACGAAGAATTAATGCATTAAAAAACTAACTGATTTGCCAAACAGCACGACTTCCGCTCTAATTAAATCTTCTGAACAAGGTCTGCACATAAAGAACGCTGTCCTGGCCATCATCCTCAATTATGCTGAAATGTGGGTGAAAAAGCATACCAAACAAAACCTTCAAGTATGCATCATTACATGCAGAAAATTAGATAAGGTAACTCTCTCTGTTACTTGCAGGCCGTATACAGGAGCTGATAAGTTAACACGTCCCCATTAACCGAAATAAATTCGCTAGACCGTAGATATGAACAGTAATTGGGTTTTTATTAATCTTCCGAAATAACATTGTTGGGGGGACATACGTTCCGCATGAAAGTACATGAAGAGATTCGTAGATTGGCCAAGTGTTAACATGAGACTTTAACAAGAATGAATTCCAGCTTTAATGATGTCCATCACAGGATGGGCGAAAGACGAGTCCGTATTCACCTGAAACGAGGGAGGATGTCTGGTGGACTGTGTCGATCTGAACGTCGTATTAAGATCAAACGGCTAGAACACAACGGTATTCGGCCGTCATCTTCTGATGAGATCAACCTACGAATCTCTTCTTCATACACTTTCATAGGAAATGAAGGTCTCCCCGAAAATTAATTAGACTGGTCCGGAACGCTGCTCTCGGTGGACTTGGCATAAGCCGAGGATTTAAGGACTCAAACATTCACTATTCACTAGTCCCCAGCCTTAAGCCCTCAGCGAAGGCTTCAGCTGCCAGATACGTTTCTCCATGCAGGGCTAACTAATTTTTTCCAACTTACGATCAAGGTTCGGCAAAAAAGACAGCCCGATGTTGTGCCGACCACACAGGGTAGTATGAAGAGGATCGTGTCCTCACGAGCCATCAGTTCTCGAAGATCCTAAAAAATATTCGCGAGATTCTTTGGAGTACATGTAAAAAGTAACCTTTACGTTGGCAATATTCAGGTGGAGAGATGCAGGTTGGTTGCTATTTAAGCACAAGCTAATTAAGGTTGTCTTGTGAATGCAAAGCCTTGTCATGACTTTGACATAGGAAAGCTTTGTCTGGTATGGAAATAATTCTGAACCCTCCTTCGCGGCTTAATTCAGGTTGATTGAGATCGGTCACTTGGGAACACGCTCTAGACAAGGATAGGTGATTGGTGCTAAGCTTAGCCACTGTAGTTGCTACTACAAGTATGTGGCGGCGACACAAGGAAATCCTCAGGTGACAAAGCCTTCTGAATTCTATAGATGAAGGTTGGCCTTTTGGTGGTAGCAATTCTGAGAGACAAACCTCGATTGAGAATGCCTCTTTCCATGAACTGTGCTCGATACAGCAGTCTGTAGCGGTAAAACTACCAGGCGGTGCCTCCACTAGTGCTAGGCCTGAACCCCTTGCCATCTGGAGGAGCAGGTGGGCACTGGGGGCAGAGTTGGTAGCTGTAGTGGTGCTGCCTTTGGTGGCGACGGTGACCGGGTAGGATTCTGACGTCTCATCAATCGCCTCTGGTATACCACATTGTTTAATTGCCGACTCGTTCTGAGGGCTCTTAAATGGTAATTGGCGGCCAATTGGCTCGTGAGGCACGATCAGGGCTTCAATATTGTCAATTCGCTGAGAAGATAATGGTAAAGAGTAAATAGAAAAATACAAAGCAACTTAGTTGTTAAGCCAATAAAGTATCAATCCATTCGTTCATTCAGGATTAATTAATTCAAAATTTGTATATTATATTCTCAACATAAAGTGGTACAATAGGCACAGTAAGCATGGAAACAGCCCTGACGTAGGAAAGCTTACAATAAGGCCGTATTAAATCGGGCAATAGGATCTCATTTTTTAAGCACTCAGTTAGTCGCAGTTACCAGGACTCTGAGTACTAGCAAGATGTACCTTGACGAATGGATTTACAAGAATTGGCAGCGATTGCACCCGCAAAGAACTAAAGGAAATGCCTGATGTTTGTCATGAATTTCACTTCGCCATAACTTTCAAAAGAACATTCTCTTTCGGAATTTACTATAATTATGACTTCGCCTAATTGTCCCGTCAACATATCCAGAGGGATTCAAACCGTAGAAATGATTGTTTAAGGGACGAACATTAACATCGAGGCCAGAAGAAGCTAGTCCCGTTAAAGTAAACGATAAACGTGAATTTCATGAATTTCTGCACACTGGTGGTTCGATTCCCACTTTATGTGCAGAAGGTTCGGGATAAAAACTGCAATCTACCCCAAATGGGAACAGTGAATTTCAAACTAAAATCATGCCTCAATTCATCAAAAATTTCTGTAACAGCATACACTAATAGTGCATCAAGGATCCATTGGACCTTTTCCTTAGCAGGAAAGGTTAGGTAAGAAAGATTCGTAAATTGGCCTCACCGGTAACGGTTGATATGAGCGAAATATCTGAGCACGGTGAAGCCAGCTAATGAATCATTTTTATCCGACTTCACACCCAAAAATGTAAGTATAACTATTCTAAATATTAAGAAATTCTTCTCTGAATCCTCAACATATATATAAGTATAGATTGTTTGTCGTTGGACTCATAAATAATGGGATTGACTCCAGTTGTTGATGCTGATGAGATATATGCTAGTTTAAAACTGCTTCCAATAATGTAGAAGAGCTTTTGGGATAACCAGTAAAACTAAATAGTCCATCTTTCTTATAATTTCTAGCGCCAAACATAAAGCTAGTCCTTGAAAGATTAGCAACCAATTAAGTAACCCCACTCTTGGGCATTCAACTAATTAGTTCCAGTGATATATTATTAGAACTCAAACCACTTGTGTATAGTCATTCAAAGAAATTCGGAATGAGAAACAGAATAGTTAAAATAGTTAAGCTCCCTTAATAAAAGAGTATAAGCCAAACCTGTTCATCACTCATACAACTATTCAAAAGCGTCTGATTTCTTGTAGTTCTAGATACGGTGAAGAGAGGTTGCGAGTCAGAGAGAGGACTTTCTTCATCTCTCTGCCCTGGAGAAATGAAGTTGTCTGACTTGTTGGAGCCAGGCCTAAGAGTGTCTGAATAGGCCGTAAAATTTGGCAATGATTTGAAGGTGCCTTGTAGGACCGAATTATGAGTATCAGCCACACATTTGACGGGCAGAGCATAGCTGGCAAGAGAGAGCTTGGGAGATAGTTGAGATTTGGAAGGCCCAAAAAAGAGAGGCCTGTTCTCCTGACATGATTCGCTTTCGTCCAGAAGATCGCTGGCGTGTTTTGACCACTTTTCAAAGACACCCTCTTGGCACCGCCCACTTGTTGCGTGGTATTGGTCAGCCTGTCGCTGATACAGAGGCGTTGAAGCGTCCGAGATGCGGATAGTCTGCAAGCTGGTTGACTCCAAAAACTGTCTGCCGGGCCTGAACAAAAGGGGGTACCAACCAGAAGAGGTCGACTCAGGGCCACATGCTTGGGATACACAAGAAGCCGGAGGCAAACAGGAGATGGATTCGAAATCAACGCTAGCTTTTAGAGCGTATGTCCGGCAGTCAGAGACCGATGACGAGTTGTCCAAATCCGCCATGACAGGTAAGGAATCGGCAGCCGGCATAGCTTCTGGCAAAGGCGATGCGGTAGTTTTTAAAACGTCTGGCCGAATACACTCTGGATGGGACCAAATGATTACCGGCCCCTGTGACGCAGAGGGTAAATTCGTACATTCGCTCGGCCTATCCGGTGAGATGATGTCCGCAATCGTCGTCACTGTGGTAGTAGATGAGGCTGCGATAGCGGTTGTGGTGAGGTCAATGAGGGTTGCAGTTGCCGATCCGATGGTTGAGCCTATGTCTTCAAGAGGAGCCGTCCCAGATGGAACTTGCGGCCACTCGGATGAGCAGACGGGGCAGCTCAATGGGTCACCGTCAGCGAGACATTCTTCGATCCCTGTGGCAAAAAAAAACATATAAAAGAAAGACCGTCAATAATGCAAGCCAATATACAGATAAACAGAAGTACATGCGGACAAGCACAATGGGCCATAAAGGTCTGACCGACAAGCGAATGATAATAAGAACTCTAGTCACACTATAAAAAAAGCTGGTGGATAACTCATAGTGAGTCTTCCCACATAGGATGAGTGAACCTCATGTTTCCATTTAATTTTACATAAACTTGTTCACTAAAAGGTGCTCTCATCAAGACTGGACTGCAGGTGCAACCTCACCTAAGTATCATCAGCACTATAAACATGAATCAAACCCGAGTATTTCATCCTATACCCTCGACATGTCACCACTCGTAAAACTGCAGGGGTGCTAGTGGGTCACAGGGCACATGCGAATTTAAGCTAGGCCATGTTTCTCTGATATAACATGTTTTGCAGGAGGATTGTCGCTAAAGCTTTAAGACAATCAGTAGATCTTGACTGGTACTCATGGAAGTGACACGATGACAGTATAACCAAAGTATACGCTGAAATACCCAGGTTTAATTCTCGTTGAGGGTGCTGATGAGATGAGGTCAAACCTGTAGTCCAATCCAGCCGGCGAGGAAAATATACTTTGGGCTAAGTGAAATTTGTTTGCATGGTGAGGCCTAATCATACATTGTGGGGAAATTCAACTATTAGACACTACTCGGAGGTATGGAGACCAAGATGGTGTGGCATTTAGTATGATCGCGGTCTCCTTTCGTTGTGGTGAAGTTGTCTAACCTTGGTTTCACAACTTGATCGTATTATCAGGCAGACCTAGAGGAAAGCACTTTATCCGAAGTCCATAGAATTTATTATAATTTCCAGTCGGGCCATAAACTTGGTACGTTCCCAAACGTCTCTCCGGCATCGTAGTCGGCCTCGTCAATGAGCCCTACCATTATTAGCACCACACCACAACTCGTCAAAGAGATAAGTGAAGTCTAGCCTTTAATACGAGAATAGAGGAAATGTGAATACTCAGGACAGAATGAGAGATACCACAAATGTTTAGTAGATTATGGGAAAAGAGACGACTTAACTTGTCTCTTTGACAAGCTTTAGTGTGATGCTAAAAATGGTAGGGCTCACTGACGACGCCGATTAAGATGCCGGCAAAACGTCTGGGAATGTTCTAAGTCCATGGTCCGAATCTGGAGATTATCATGCATACTATGTACTCCGGACAGAATTCACTGCTCTATGTCACCCTGACAACACGACAAAGTTGCGGAAACAAAATCAAACAATTTATATCGAACCTTAAATCACCTTAAGAGGCCAATTCAAAAACAACTGAGTGTCTTGAAACCTAATTACATCGAAAATGTAATAAATGAGCTTGCACCACGTATCAGAGTTGTCAAGGGTTAGCACGAATGGGCTGTTGTGATGGTTTAGAGTTATGACAGGTGGTTTCGTACCATGACCCCCCACCTACGAATATAGCCATACATACGTACGCATGCAAACATATACGCCTACCTACATGTACACTCAATCACGCAGACTTACATGAAAAGGACCATACAAATTGTTCTATATACTT